AACAGTTTGAGGTTCTCTCCCTGTGTTAGCAGGGCTCCATCTCCTGTAACAGTTTGAGGTTCTCTCTAACTAGATTCCTTCTCTTGTAATGGCTTGATGTTCTGTCTGTGAACATTCCCTATTGTTCCTTTGGTATTCCCCTTGTTGCTTTTTAAAGGAGGTAGAAGCTGCGGACTTATTTAAATGAAATCCAACTTTAAAAGGCTTCCGCAGCGGTAAAACATCAACCCCCACCCCCTAGCGATAAAGCATATGGTGTCTTTTGTGTGAGCTGAGTGTTAAGACTCTTCCATCCCCATGAGTGGCGTTTGATGAATTGGCCTGTTAGTGTGCTGGTCGACCCACCTGAGTGGCCTTTCTTTATCTTTTCCCAGGAGATTATGGCAATTTACTGAGTCTTCTGTTCCCGCTCCTTATCAGAGTGGTATGGGGGGGGGGCGGCTAGTATTTAAGCCCAAGCTCCCGTTAGCCCTGCTGAAAGAGCAGATCCACCCAGATTGGGCCCCGTCTCTAACCAAGGGGCCTTTCGGCTTCCCGCATGGCCCAGGAGTTATACAGACCCACGCGACTGCAGTGTGCTGTAGGATGGCTTTCGACCCTCTTTCGTACATAATGGGGGTTGGGGTGAGGGTGTGATGGAATAAGCGGTTCTCTCCTCTCCCCTGTGCTCTGCGCCTAGCCACATGGTTGTCGTAGCTTTGCCCACTAACGTAAACACCCACAGGCAGCTGCCTGGAAGGTTTGTGCTGTCCATTAAAATTCCAGCAGTGATCAAAGGAGCCGGCCCCTGGATTGTCTCTTGAACCCTGTCCCGAGGGTTTAGATGACGCGTTGCCCTCGTAACTGGGTCCCTGGTGACCGTCCTCAGGTGTCTGTTTGCTTTCCGGTCATTTCTACAAGGTTCCTTTGAGCTGGGGTCTGTCTCGGGGTCCGCGTGCGTCACGCTGAGGATCTGTCTTTCTGGAAGTGATGGCAGTATGTTGCTGTTAAACTCAATGAGCAGATGAGACACACACACTGCTCACGCTGGGTCTCTGATGCTACGTGTGTTTGTGTGGATCACCTCTGAGGAGGGCCTGTCAGTCGCGAACTGGGGACGTCGCTCTCGCTGGGTCACCTCTGAGGAGGGCCTGTCAGTCGCGAACTGGGGACGTCGCTCTCGCTGGGTCACCTCTGAGGAGGGCCTGTCAGTCGCGAGCTGGGGACGTCGCTGCAGCAGCCTCTCGGGA